TTGGTTCGAGGTCACGACTATCTGGACTCGTATGTATGATGCTGTTTGATTGCTGAAGTTTGCTATTGCTCATCTTCCTTGCATAAATATTTAATTAAAGAATATTTAAATTTGCAACAATTAATTTCACGAAAGTTAAATATTTAGTTAAAGAATATTTAAATTTGCACAAGTAAAAATGAATAAAGTTTAAGCAAGTTTAAACCATACTTGCAACCGCACGAGCCGCAGATTCGTGCGGAGTTCCATGCGGAGTTCCGTGCGGGGGGTGCCTGTGCGGAATCGCGCAGGTTTTTTATTATTATTATTATTTTTATTTTTATTTGGGAGGGGGATGGGGGGGGGGCGTATGACAGGAAGCTGGGGATATGGCGAGTAGAGGGGGACATGGAGAGGAGGAGGAGGATGTGGTCGAGGAGGACGACAAGAATAGTGAGGACGACGACGAGGAGGAGCAGAGATGGGGGAGGAGAAGAGATGGACGGAGGGAAAGAGGAAGGGCGGGAGGAGGAGGAGACATGAACGGAGAGGAAGGGGAGCACATGAGGAAGGTAAGGCATCGAGGAGGCATGGAAGATGGCGAAGTACTAGGAGGAGGAGGAGACAAGGAGGATGAGGAAGGGCAGGAGGAGGACGAACAGGAGGAGACATGGAGGGCAGGAGGAGGACGAAAAGGAGGAGACGAAAAGGAGAAGAGAGGAGGAGACATGGAGGAGGAGGAAGGGGAGGAGAGGAAGGGGAGGAGGAGCAAGGTGAGGCAGCACTCCTGCAAAAAAACATTTTCATCCCGCTTATAATTTTTGTGGGGGGTCTCGAACGCACCGTTTCGACCCCCGGCCTTCTTTTTTTTTTTTTTTTCGGAGGGGGGTGACGGGTCGTTCCCCGCACATGTTGTGCGCCGCACGGGATCGGTTGGGCATGTGTGCCGCACGTCGGGAACTGCCCGCACAAGGTGCGCTTGCATGTATGGTTTAAACATTTAAACATAATTTTAATAGTTTCACGAAATTTAATCGGGAGAATTTAGCATCATTACGAAGTCACAAAGTAAGTAGAAGATCAATGGTAGTAGGAAGATACACAATTTGCTTGGAAAGATTCAACCTTTAATCGCAATAAAAGATGCGTTTTGCAAAAAGTGAAAGTTCTGTGAAGTTGCAGTTTGAATGCGGCCGTGCTCAGGCCCGATCTGCCTTAATTGGCGTGGTGCCTGGCTGGCACTTACTTCCCATAGGTTGATAGGTCATTAGATTAGGTTGGGACTAACCCTAATTAGCGCTAATTAGGTTAATGGTGATTAGCAATTCCCTAACTGTGCGCAGTATGGTGAAAGCCGCAAAACCTAAAATTTGAATTCGACGACCTACTTACCAAGTTACTATGTAAGTACGAGAAAAAAAAAAAATTGCAACTTGCGATTTAATTATAACAGAGTACAGGTGTAGATAATCAATCAATCAATCAATGGTGAGTCATCCAATGCTGGTCTGCTCCGATACCAAACTGTTGCATACTCGTGAAACACAGTCATAAGTATGGCGCAGATTCCCAGAACCGACCAGATAATACAGAGTTAATACAAATACAGCCGAAGAGTTGATACCCATGGACTGACTCTGACCTGACTCAGACTGCAATCGAACACTCTC